TACGCTACCTGCACAGGACCTAACAGCGAATTTTAGCAACCAGCTGGTGAAAGTAGTGGATCTTTCAGCAGCCATAGCAGATGACAATGGTAATGTTGCTTCTATTAATTTGCAAACAAGTTTTCCCATATCAGCTTGTTTCCGCTGCTCCCAAGTGGCTAACAAACAGTTTCTGCAGGATTAATAAAACATTTAGTAATAAGGACTTTAGTTAATGTGTAAATCGGTTGTTAAAAAAAATTCTGCAGTTTTGCATAACCAGAAGTAATGAGCTATGTAACAGAGAGTTGCTGAAGTGTCATTGGCTGTAACATAACTTCTAGGGGTCCTAGCGATATATTAAACTTAAACATTCAATCATGGATTTTTTGGCCACTTGGGGGCAGTGGAAACAAGTTACGGACACAACACTGACGTATCCTCACCTTCTAAGTTGCGTATATCAGCAGTCACGGACGTAATTTGGGGGGGGCACAGGGGACATGTCCCCTGCACTTTTTCAAAAGGCCGTTTTGGTCCCCTGCCGTTTTTACCGTCCAAAAACAATGTTACGCTATAGTAAACAGAGACTCGTCAAGCACTAGGACCAAGCAGAAAACGGCCGCTCAAGCTGAAGCCTGTTTCCCTTAGTTTAGACTGCCCACAAGCTCCTCGATTGGCTCTGCCGTTTCTTGTGTGAAACGCTGTCACTCCATCTTGCTTGCACACCGGTCTGCTAGTTGCCCAGGAGTCCTTATTAATCTGCCACTGTACATTGGGCGTTTGTTCTGCCTGGGTCACATCAGCTAGAAGGGTTGTAATATCAGAGGTTTCATTTACATTAACGTTTGAATCTGTGTCCATGTGCGTATGTGCGTGTGTGCGTGCGTGTGTATGTGTGTTTGGTAATTAGGCGCAGCCATGTCTAAAAAAAAGAAAAGTGGACATAACAGACTTCTTTAGAAGTCAAAGCTTAAGTTACTCAAAGAAATGCGTTACACCCATCCTGCAACACCTTCACTGGCTCCCAAATACCATATATTCCAAAAAATAAGTGTAAAATTGGTGGTACTGAGTTGGAATGAAGTTGACTAACAAGGTGAAACACAAATTGGGTGATAATGTTTTGCTACATGCTTGACAACCAGTCAAACCAATAAAGGGAACAGTAAACTTAAAAGTAGCAATAGAAAACTAGAAGAACTACTAGAAAGCACAGTGAACTGAAAGAGCTAGAGTTTTATTAAAAATACTTGTGTCCCCCCCACCTCTTAAATCAAAATTTCGTCCTTTTCAGCAGTTATTAGGATTTATTTATAAGTTCAATATTCACTCTCTTTTAGATGTTTTTGGTCCTGAGCTAAATGCTCCACTAATGTTCACCAGCTTATTGCCAACTGTGTCCGTCTGCTGGGTGGGCTGGATGGGTAATGTACAGTCATTTTTTAGAGATTTTCACTGAAAACTGCTTCCTGCCGCGGCTGAAAACAACGCTATGAGAGCGGTTGTGGGCTGGACAGCTAAACATTGAGCTGAAACTCAAATATAAAGCTCTGTAAAGCCACTCCAGATTCAATTGATAATTCCCTTCAGGTTCATTGTCACATTGTTTTCACATTGTCAGTTGATACATTGTTATTATAAAACTGTCAATTTAATGCTTTTATTGACAATTCTTTGTAGCCTATGGCTTTTTGGATTTATCTCAGAGTTAGTACTATTCATGCAGATTAAAATGAGAAGGAAAGATTATGCTAACCTATAAATATTATAGTTGCTTTTCTATTATTATTATTATTATTATTATTATTATTATTATTATTTTTAGAAACAGTATTTAATCTCTATGTAAGAACTAGTTTGTGTGGTGCAACCCATTTGATTTAGCGCCGTTTAAATTAGGCTCTACAACTTATCTTGATTTTGAATGTTGATCTATAAATTTTTCTTTCATTGTGCAACCGGCTCCATTTTATTTGAATGTGATCTCGGCTGTTTGGTTCAGGTGCCTTGTGGAGAATGTAGTACAAACTGCCAACTTCAATTAGTTAATAACTAAACCATTAAACATCACACTTATAGGAGCAGCACTACAATGGGATCTGTTATAACATTTGCATGTTTTATATGTTTACAGAAAGAGCTGTGTATATTTTTGCAGACTGTACTGTATTACAGTAGTTTATGTGAACATCATCAGAGACCAGGGACAGTCTTTCCATCATATAATGATGAGCATTATGGGAATTTAACATTGCAGTGATATTTCAACTTCAATTGTACTTTATTTTATAAATGACATACAATCACTCTTGACATTTCATAGCACCCACATGTAAAGCAGTGAAGTATAATACTAGCAGCTACTCAGTCTTAATTTGGTGTTTGAAGGCCGTCATGATAAATGGCACTGCTGATTGTTGTAAATACAATAGACAAATGTGGCTATATGAATGTAAAGCCTATTGAATCTAATTGTAGGTGGTTCATTGTGATGGCTTCAGCATTGGTCTTCAAAGAGGTCAAATATATGAATTCTGAAGTAAAATGCAGAAAGTTTCAGATGCCAAGAAATAATTTTCTACATTCTACACAACAGCAAATCTTAAAGCAAGCGATTTAAGTTAGTGATCTGTGAGTTTTTTCAAAGGGAATCCTTAAAAGATGATTTGAATGTGTAGGTGCTTTTGTGCTGAAAGGTTTTTTAGTCATTCACAGACCATAATTTACCTAAGGGAAGAATAGATCATGACCCTCTGGCTTTCTGGCCTTCGGTGCTGGGCGGGTAGTGTACAGTGGGTTTATCAGAGTGTTCTTGCTGAAAACATCTGCCAGCCATTACTGAAAATACAGTTACAACACAAAAACCAAAACAACAAGCTAAAAGACACTAAAAGCTGTTGTGTGATAATTCTCATTAGGTTCATCACTACGAGCGACATTACACATAGACATTTGATCTATTGTTTGTATAAACTATTGATTAGTGCAGCTTTAAACTCTGTGTGATAAGGTGGAACAATCAAAGACTCACCCCTGTAGGCTTTAAAAGACAGTTGACAGTTGGAGTTATTGTTTCGGCTTTACTGCTGTGTTACACTATCACTTTCCTTTAACCACCAAAGCAAGACAGATAGTTTGAGCCACATTTTGGTGAAATGTTGATTATTGCGGATATACTGAGCATACGGATTGACAGCAAAAAATTGGATTACACTGCAGGAGTGGTTTTAAAATTGTCTATGGATCTTTCAATCCTTTTTTCCCACCACTAAAACTTCCCTCAGTGGAATCATTGTAGCATGAAGGTGATCACAGCCTCTGTTACCTGTGAAGAAGGATACTTCACTTTAGCAGTTGCACATTAACAAACACTCACACTGTAGAGGAAACAAATCCTGCTGCTGGTGCTCAACCATACAGCCCGCTGGATGAATGAATCCTTGTTTGAATGGAAAACTGCTGGGGGGAGGGGAGGAGGGAAGAGTGGAAGAAAGCAAGGCTGGGAAGTTGGAGAGGAAACGGAAATGAGGGTGAATAGAATAAGCGTGAAGAGAGAACCAGAGGACAAACTCTAGTAAAACCAGCAGATCTCATTCATTACACATGGATGGGAGTATAAGCCAGCGGATGTTTCCTTGCAGCCTCGCAGTGTTTTCCCCCAGGTGTCAAAAAGCGTTGAGCTGGGCTCAAGTGTGCGGACGGGGTTAAAATGTGTCCAAAATGTTGCTTGCTGCTTTACAGGCTTCAGTTGCATGTGTGCGCGTGCACCCTGTCAAATGTAATTGTGTTAAAATTAGCCAGGCTGACACACACACACACACACACACACACACACACACACACACACACACACACACACACACACACACACACACACACACACACACACACTGACATACACTTCACACTGCAGGCTTGTGCAGGCTGTGGCAAGGGACAGAGCATGGGAAGTGTGAACAGTAGAAGACTAGACAAAATGACATGTGTTCGCCCAAGGAGCTGGCACTGTAATTGTGTGTGTGTGCATATGTTGTTCTGTGAGTGTGGTGTGTACTGCTCCAACCCTGCTGTTTACCGTGGGGGATTTTAGAAGAATTGTAGGCAGCTGGCAAGGCCCTTCAGTTTCTCTTTTTTTATTTCCTAAATCTGCTAGTAGCTGTGTGTAGTAGTTTGTCTGTCTGTCTGCCTGCCTGCCTGCCTGCCTGTCTGCCTGCCTGCCTGTGCCCCATTCACTTGCTCCACTTATGTGCATGTGGATTTGATGTTGGGCTACCACAACAGTTTAACAAAATAGGCAATTTCCTACATGAAAAGAAGCAATAATTTCCCTCTAGCCGCTGGGATACAGGCCTACAATGTGTTGATCAGAACTTAAAGCTGCAGTAGAAAATATTTTCTTGGTAAAAAATACAGACTTAATATTTGTGCGAATCAGAGAAGAATGGCCCATTTCCATTATCTTTGTCCTGTTTTCAGAAATGAATTCTTGGTTGTGGTGATCACATGTGTAAAATCCAAACTGTCTCCTGAACAGCAGTGAGCAGCAAACCCTAAAGAGAAGGCAACATCTGTTCCTTCAGGATGTTTTTGGACATTCATCTCAAACCACTGACTCTTGCTGTCAGACCTGACAACATACTGTACATATAGAACACATTGTGGCTAAAACTCACATTGTCAAAGCATCATATTCCTAGTGATCCTTCGCTTTGAGTTGTGTTGCTGGAAACTGAAACTGTCTTTTATTTTTTTGTTGTGTTGTGTTGAAGCAGTGTGGCCAACTAGTCAGGCCTCTCCCTGAAACAGAGTGGGGCAGTGTTTTTGATATTTTGAGATTCTAACCCTTATACGCTTCTGCATGTGGTTTTCAATGTGTATCAGCATTGAATGTCTGCATGTACGGCAAAAACTGTGACCTGAACCATGTGACACCGAGCTAACATTGGAGCCGACAAGGTGAAGTTGCTGTGCACAACTCGCAACTAATACTTCTTTTGTGTCTGTTTTTTCCATTTTAGGGTTCCTGCTGTCTGACGGTGGATTGCGGACCAGCTTGCCGAGTCGTCTACACGCTACCAGCCACTTGTAGTATCATCATTGGTAGTTGACATTGGGAATTACCATTGTCCAAGCAGCAGCTAGCTTTAGCATTCAGTTTCTAGTTGTCCGCAGCTGGCTGTCTTCATTGGGAGTTATTTATTGCCTGTACCATTAACGTTGAGTTTGCCATTCGTTTTTATCACGTCACCTACGTAGCATCACACCATTGGCATTAGCGCTGATTACACGTCGGCTAGTTAACGTTAGCTGCCAGTATGGAGCGCAGTAGCTGGAGCGGCAGTGAGAGTGCAGGGGAGGACATGGACAGACTGAGTGACTCAGGAGGGGATAAGACCATGGATGGGGACCCTGAGGGGGTCTGGAGCCCCGACATCGAGCAGAGCTTCCAAGAGGCCCTGGCCATTTACCCGCCCTGTGGAAGGAGGAAGATTATACTGTCAGATGAAGGAAAGATGTACGGTGAGTGATGGGAGATGGAAAACTGAGAAAAAGAAGGGAAGAGTTATTTTATAAAAAGCCTGAAAATGACCATGGTCAAGATGAGATCTTCAGATTGTTGGTTTGTTCAACCAACAGTGCCAAAAGCAAAAATATTCAAATTGAAATGATATAAAAGCTATATATAGAAGCTCAAACATTTGACATTTTTCTTCAATATATGACTTATTAGGAATAATCAAAAAACAATTAAAGGGCTGTGATGTACTGTAAGTGTTATATGGTGGCTAATTTTTCATACAGAAGGATGAAGATTTTGAATGAAGCGAAGTCACACTTGAACACTTGTTTGTGTATTTATATGGCGATGAAGCATATTTAAAGATTGTGGATCATTTTGATTGTTCAACACTAATCCACACACTGTGTTGTGGTAGAATGTGACATCTCAGTGCAGTGTTATAAACACATCCAGTGATTGCCCGAGCCGTTGAGGTGTTTACTGTGAGACTGTGAGAATGACTGGATAGACGGCTGTGTGTGAGGGCCGTCTCACAGGGCCTCGAGTGTCAGAGACACAGGAAAGAAAGATAAACTGTAAAAGAGAGGAAATAGAGGTGTGCTATAGGTGCATCATGTGTATGTGTGTGCGTCTGCGAATGAACGTGACACTGACTGAGAGAGTATATGTATTTGTGTGTGTGTGAACTAATAGAGTGATGAACAGATGGTCCTCTGGCTGCCACCAGCTGCGCCTCCCTCCCTCTCTCTTTCACTCTTTTTTTCCCTTTTTTCTCTCTCCCCCTCTGTATGCAGAGTGCACTCTAGTGATTTCTTTATGATACTACTTGAGTTTCAGGCTTATAAGTATTGGATTAAATCCCAGATACTATACTTTTTTCCCCGTGCACACTTGTCTTGCCTCGGGTCCTTGATGGATTTAAACACACAACATGGACACCCAGAGATTTCAACCACAATGCTGCTGGGTGGCCTGGCTGGCAGCCCAAAGGGTGCTCGATTGGGTTGAGGTCAAGGCTCTATGCAGGCCAGTCAGGTTCTTCCTCAGAAAACTTTTACCTCACCTTAAGATCTACACTAATCAGTATTTTTATACTAACAATGGTAAAACCACATAAATTATTATCCAACTGCAGTACATAACAACTTAAACATAACAGCTAAGCTGATAATCAGTGTCGTGGCAGCTTGTTGCACAGCCCCCCAAGTAGAATAAGTCTAGTGACCACATCCTCATTGGAAGTACACCACCAACTGAAAAGCTGACCTGCAGAAGTCACACTGAGACTAAAACTCCTGTTAAAGCTCCTTGTTGTTATTGATCAACCACCAATCAATCAGTCTCACTCTGTTCTCTGCCTCGGTGGCATGTTCAGCGCTGTTTGTTTACCTTGCTGACTTTGTGTCCAAGTTGTTGACACGTTTATCACTGTGACCTAATTCAGTTAGACAGTGTCTGTTTTCAGAGGCAGAGCAGGAAAGGCAAATGGCGAGAAGGGATGAGTAGCGTTTGGCATAGAGGCCAGGGGTTTTTAATCGTTACTAGAACATCTGTGCAAACCAGAATTATGAAACGGTATCTAGTTTGTCTTTATTTTTGTCTCATGATGCACACAGAATGTGACATGCTCACTTTATTGTTAGTGCATGCTGTTTCATTCTTCTGCAAGAAGAATGCATTTATGTATTGAATAGACTATTTTCTACAGAATTTTAAAGGACCAGTGTGTAGGATTTAGTGGCATCTAGTGGTATAGTTGCAGATTGTAACTCACTTGCTTCACCCATACCCTTACAAGCGTGAAGGAGAAACTACGGTGCGCAAAAAACACAAACAGCCCTCAGGGCTCCAGACTACCTGTTTGCATTGGTTGCACTGGTGCGCCTAACTTTTTCTTTTTTTTAGGTGCACCAGCACAAAATGTAGGTGCACCCAAATTTTTCATTGCGTCGCCTTTAATGCCAAGGTCACCTTTTTATCGCTCTCCATAACTTTCTTATAATGTGAATGATTTTTAAACAAGAATAAGGTGTAGAGAAATGCTTGTCTTTATTTGAAGCACAATTATATATAACAAGTAAAATAAAGTGTTTAAAGTGTTTCACTGAGCTGAAATTGAAACTGAATTTCTAAAACACTAAGCATAATAAAACATTTCCAAATAAAAGTTTGATATGAAACGTTGTTGACCCGCTCACAAATGCACTATTTCCGGCTTCCAGCATATTCTGACCGCACTCCTGACAGTACACGCAGTACATTGCGTTACGTCCTTTGTTGTACCTCAACCAGGGAAATTGTTTCAGCCAGTCCTGTCTGAAGGAATATATTTTGACGTTTTTAATTTGGGTCTCGGAGCCGGGCTCTTTCCCAGACTCGGTTGTCTCCTCCTCTGGTTCCGAGTCTGATGCTGTCGCTGAAGGACCGGGGCTCGGCAATTTTTAAACACACACGATTTAGCACGGTGAACAGGACCACAGCCAATCAGAGGCAAAGACCCGCCTGAGCTCTGCCTCTTATTGGTTTAGAACACGATATGATCCTACCATGAGTGTGTGAGTTCAGTCACAGGAGAACACAGAGAGGTGATGCGCTTGCAAAATAAATTTATGTTTTCACCCGGGCAGCGTCAGGTGCACCAGTGCGACCTAGAAAAATTATTAGTCTGTGCGACCAAATTGGCCCTGGCCCTATCTAGAGCCAGTGAGTATGTTTAAGCAGTTCAACGTGGTGGACTCTGACGCTTCATTCTAAGGTACCAAAACACGATTCTTATATTCAGGTGGTTATACAGTAATGAAAACATACCTGTGAATATTATATTCCATTTCTGCCAATAGATCCTCCGAAGCAAAAGCAACGTTATGTATGCACACAACCTTGAGGTTACTTTAAAAGCTTTTTTTCCCATTGCTATTCAAACCAAACCTAAGTGTTATTAATGGTGGTTTTGTGGTTTCCTTTAGCATTGCAAAATTAGTTGCAGGTGAGTATTCCTACAGAAAAGGAAGAGGTAATATCTGATACTGTAGGTAGGTTCTAAAACACCCCCACTGTCTGCAGGGAAATGGACTGAATTAGAAAATAAGAGGGAAGATGCATAAAAGTGCTGGGATGAACTTAGTGAGAGAGAAGCGTAGAAAAACGATAAATGGATACATATAAAAAGGAGAGAGAATAAAAAGGTGAATAAAAGCCCTATTATCCTTTTGAAAAGGTACAGCAGAGGTACAATGTAATGGCCTCTGGCTTTCTCCCCTACAGAAACATCATATGGATCTACTGGATGAATATGAAAGTCCTTTAATTGGTATTGACCCTTTTCTGTCTCTTAAGCTGTGGATCAGGGACATGTTCAAAGCAGATGTATTACAGGAGGCTACAGCATACTGTGAATGGTAATGAAGTGTAGGCCTAGTCTGTGGCAATGACCCAGGTTCCCACATTCTATCCAATGTTGTCATATTGTATAAAACATGCCTATACTCCCTTTCAGTGAAAATTGAAATTTAATTTGTTCTGACTAGAGGTATTACATGACATCCATGCTAACAATGTAACAAAAGAAACTCAAGTTAAACTGGTTATTCAGCTCGACTCTTTTTGAAGAAACTGATGCAAAAAGAAGACGTCCTCTTAGATGGAAATGGATGTTAGAAATCAATCCAAGTCTGTTTACAAGTCTTGGGGAGTACTACTGCACATATAGAAAGTTGTGTAAAGCCTTTTGTGGTCCAGGGGAGCTGTGTGAAAAGACAATTACCTCAAGTGATGTCACTTGAGTTGGTAAACACTACATGTGGACATATTCTCTCTTTATAAAGATGTTGTGGTGAACACATTAGCAAACAGTTGCCTTTATACATCCAGCAGACACAGAGCAACATAAGCATTCTTTTCAATCGTGTTTGACGAGACGTGTTACGTCGTGTTAGGTCTAAAATTCTCCTGTTAGCTCTGCTTTGTGCTCCACAAACACCAAAGGGAAATATCTGGCTGTTTAGCTGCTGAATGCTCCACTATGTTCACCAGCTGCTATAAGTAAGGTTGATGAGATCAGATGAGACCGAACCAATATGCCATGCTTATGTCACCCTGTGTCTGTTGGATGTGTAAATGGGCACAAAGAGAAACAAAAGAATGAGCTGAAAGACTCTAAATTGCTCTGTAGAGCTGTGGGGAACTACAGAGTTGAGTGATAATTCTCTGTGAGTTTGTCGCTACAAGTAACTCCTTTTGATATTACACAGTTATTTGATCCATGGATAGCATAATAGTGATTGGTGCAGCTTTAAAGCAGCAACAAGGAACCTACATTTTTTGCGATTCCGACGGCCCCTGTGTACAAGAATGGTGTTTCTACTGCCTCATTCCATTGATTTCAATGGGAGTCCAACTGAATCCGATCCGGTGGCAGGCATTAAGAATAACTATGTAAAAATAGTAAATCTTTTCACTGATGGTCTCGATTGTTTATGTAGGTCATATAGAGGCATCAAAATTTATTTAAGACCGTTTCATAACCAGTAAAAATCTCCTTGTTTGAATAAAAAAAATCTCCTTGTTTGAATAAAATAGGGTTATAATACATTCATAGTCCCCAGAGTTGAGTAACCAAAAAAGTTTTTGTGTGCATACTGAAACTCTGGTATCGTATTGGGAGAGCCCTGAATGAATACAGAGGACAAGCGTTCGCTCAGTTTCAGATACAGTTCATTTCTATGAAGTTTAAGTTGTTCTGGAAGATTAAAAAACAGTCGGAGAAGAGAAAATATTCTTCAGGCACTTTCAGGCAAAACTAAGGGAAATGTTATATCAAAAGCCTTTATTTAGATCTTACACGGTCTTCATTATGGTGAAGATAAAAGAAAACCAGATGGATTACATCTGGTATCCTACATAGGCGCATAGGCACAAGGCGCCGGAAACCATCACACAATGAAATGGCCAACGAGTATATACAAAGAAAACAACTATCACAACAATATCAAAATCAAAATAAAACAAAGTGTATCACTGAGTATTATGCCGTCTCAATAGTTACCATTTAACAAAGTTATATTAAAAATAATCTGTTTTCTTCAGCAGATCCAGATAATTCCTTTAAAATAAGTCACATATGCAGCTCTTGTAACCACTAACTGCTGTGGGCTGGTCTTTGATGTGAGGTGACGTCACCACCTGTTGCACTCTGTAGGTGACGTCATCTGGCCAGGGTTCAGTCACTGTTTAAAGGAACTGACACTGTTTGTAATAAATGAAATATTAACTGTGGGGTTAGCAGGAGCAATGATGTTTTTGAGCCATTGTACCTGGAAAAACATCCGAAGTGTGCCACACAGAGAACTTCAAATGAAGACAAAAATCCACAAGAGACGTCTCATTGCTGAATGTATGATTGACTGGTGGTCTTTGGGAGGTGCGCCACTGAACCAGATGGAGACCAAACAAATGAGCTGGGATCTCAGACTCGCCAGTTAAACACACTCCTACTCGCCGTTTGTGAAGCCAGGCTGCGGGCCAGAGTTCGGCCCCTGTGGTCTGAGGTCTTCCCAGGGTACACAACAATACACACCACTCCACTGCAGCCTTGTTAGCGAGCGCGGTCAGTGAGGCCTTGAAATTATTCTGAAAGGGTTTTCGAGCTTTTCTGTAAAGCACTGAGGCTCTTAATCACTCTGCTAACTAAGCGTGGGGACAGTGAACTACTGCAGTAATGCTTTTTTTCAGAAGACTAGGAAAGAAAAGAAAATATTTGTACGGAAAAACGCATAAGAAGCTGCATATTTGGATAGATTGCTTTCTCATTCGCACAGGTATTTCTGTGCTCTCAATGCCAAGTGAGAAATCAGTCAGGATTCTGTTTCTAGTGTCGTGTTCACATGGTCGCTGCCTTGTGGAAGGTATTACATTTAAATAACTATATGTGAATTTGGGAATTTCCTCTTCAGTTGGAATTCTTTTTTTTTTACATTTTCTGTAAATGAAGTCACTTTTTGATTTTATCATATTGTTGCAAATCTGCTTCTTGTATCTTTAATTTTTTTGTGGATCCTCATTCATGTTCTCAAATCAGAATCACAGAACTAACGTGTGTTGTGTGTTTTTCGGGCACGCCGGCCCCCTCAATATCTGCTTGCACACAGAGTGGCTTCAGCCTGGAGATAGCGAGGGAGGGGGGCGGGGTTGCTTCTGTTCGTCACGGTTAATGACCATCTGACTTTGGCCTTGAAGTCTTTCACTGGGCAAGTGGAGAGAGAGAGAGACACACAGAGAGAGAGAGGAAGAGGGAGGGAACAGAAGGGAAGCCCATTCACTACAAGAGGGACAGAGGAGGGGAAAAAGGGAACAGCCAGAACAGAGGATGGATGGACGGGAAAGGGAGGGGTGTGTGTGTGTGTGTGTGTGTGTGTGTGTGTGTGTGTGTGTGTGTGTGTGTGTGTGTGTGTGTGTGTGTGTGTGTGTGTGTGTGTGTGTGTGTGTGTGTGTGTGTGTGTGTGTGTGTGTGTGTGTGTGTGTGTGTGTGTGTGGGAGAGTTTTTGAGAAAGAGGGGAGGGTGAAAGCGAGGGATGTGTGCCGCAGGGTTAGTGAAGGATGATAATTCACCGTTAAGCCTCCTAGAAAGACCAGCTGGCCCCTCTGGAGTCAGATGTCAGCCTCCGCAGCCAGGACTCACTCTGTGTGTGTGTGTGTGTGTGTGTTGGCACTCATGCATGTATATACATGTATGTATGTGTGTGTGTATTTGCGTGTGTGCTGTCGTCAGTCGCAGCTTTTGACTGCTAGAAGGAAAACACCTGCATGGGGAGCTGTAGATTTTATCAGTCTAAGCTCCCTATCTCAGTGAGAGTGGGATTGGTCTGAACACACACACACACACACACACACACACACACACACACACACACACACACACACACACACACACACACACACACACACACACACACACACACACACACACACACCATCTGCTAGTTAGTTAGGGCTATTGTTACGAGCCATTTGGATAGTGTGTAGAGGTTTGGCTTTGTGCTGATCTTGACCATCAGTTGGCCAGCTGGCCTGACTTTGGTTTTCCACTTGGTCGGAACAGAAAACCGGCCAGGAGACAAACCAAACTAAGCTGCAGAGCCCCAAACATGCTTGTTAGCAAATAAAACAACAGTCAAATTACTTAATTTCATAAAATATTTTAATTTAACTGCCATCTTTGAATTGTGAGGACTCCCAAGTTGTAACACGGTCAGACGTTGGAGGCAACTGTAGTGCAACGCTGTAGCTGTATCACTGTATCACTGTATCACTGTATCAACAAATGTGTTATATATATGAACACACACACATACACACACTCACAGGTTTTCTGGATGTAACTCTCTGGTTTTCTGCTTCTTTTCTCTCTCTGTCTCCGTCTCCCTCACTAATCTATACTAGCCAGGTCATGCTGAGTCTGCTGTGCTCCCCATTGAATGGGTTGAATTATTCAGCATTGTAAGCGTGTGTGTGTGTGCGTGTGTGTGTGTCTGTGTGTGTGCGCGCGTATGTGCACGCGTATGTGCACACACGTAAGCAAGGGTACAGCTGGCCTGCTGGTCCCTTTAATCAGGGGACGGCCGGTCTGCATGAATGCCTGTATTGTTGGGTCATGTGTATTCAGGGCCATGGCGTGTGTGATTTTGTGTGTGTGTTAGTTGTGTATGTGTGGAGGGCTCAACAGGGGTATCGGTGATTACAACGCTACTATGTGAAACCGCACGTCACAGGGTCGCTGGGTCAACAGCACTAAATCAGGCACTAAGTTGTTTGTCAGGGTCATATGATTTCTGCTTGTGATTGTCTGTGAGAAAGAAAGGAAAAAAGGGTATTGTGTGTGTGTGTGTGTGTGTGTGTGTGTGAGAGAGAAAACGACATGATGCATGTTTCATCTGTATGTTCTGTGTATTTCCCCCTCCAGGTCGAAATGAGCTGATAGCCAGATACATCAAGCTCCGAACAGGCAAGACGCGGACAAGGAAACAGGTAATAATGGGAGTGTGCATTAAATCCAATCATAGTGTCTACAGTATGTATCACAGCATATCACATTACACAGACATAGTGAGGGAAATGGTGCTATCTGCTGTGATGAAAAGCTGAACTGTAATGGTCAGTGGTTACGTTTTTTTTCATTTGGAGAAACTTGGTGAAAAAATGGTTAACTGATGTTATTTTACAGGGTCTCTTTGGTTGTAATTTTTTTTTTTGCCTAGTGTATCTGTAAAGGAAACTCACATGATTGCTGTGGTTGTTTTCAACAATAGACCTTTTTCACAGCAGCCATTTTGACGTGAAATAGTAGGGTAAATACAGGTGTTACCAGTGATTCTAATTAAGGCTCACTGAAAAGGCTCTGCTTCCCTAAATGGAATGCAGCCTTAATTAGTATCATCGGTAACGCCTTAAAACACTTAGTTTGGCCCTTTCTGTCCTGCTGCTGTTACAGTCTTGTTTGAGTTGAAAGGTCACCAGCTCAACAGAAGAAGCCTTTTAGTTGTAACACCCCATTTATAACTGGTAGTAAAATTTGATCTGTACACAGACTCGTTATCTGAGTAAACAATCCGATCTTGCTTTTGCATTTACAACCGGTATTTTGAATGCATTCTCGTTATCCTCATTGAGATCAGATCTCCGTCCTCTAGAGGAAAACCTGTGCCAGCCATTTGAGTGGTAGAGAGTAAGACCCTGAAGCCCCTAAAAAAAAAAATCATGGAGTTTTTGTGAGTTGTACAGTTAGTTTATAAGCTTTGTGAAACGCTTGCTACAACATATTCTTAATTATTTGTCCCTCTTGTAAATTCAGCAAATATAATAAGTTATTGCTTTCTTTGTATAAAAAATATTGATGCAGTGTTGGGCAGTAATTCATTACTAGTAATAATATTACAGTAGTAATATTACTTTCCCCAGTAACTAGTAGTGTAACTAATTACTAATACAAAACTATTACAGTAGTACAGTAGTCCAAAAAATATGTAGTTACAACGTTACTTTTGTCGTCACACCTTACTGGTGTGAAATCCAACAGTCCATTCACATGCTTGGATTCAATTTTGTAATCGTGGAGGAAACTAGTTGGAAATATTCCCATTACTTTGATTGTAACAAACAAAACTGGAATTTAATTAATCAGTCATAAATCTGAATTTTGGTAGATGGCACACAGTTAGCAATTTTGTTGGGAAAGTAATACAACTAGTAGTGTAATGTGTTATGATTGCCAGGGATTAATAAGTAAAGTAATAATATTACTTTTGAAAAGAGAAATTAGTAATAATATTTTTTTTTTTTTATAACTAGCCCAACACTGGTCAGTTAACCCAGTGTGTTGCAGTACCACTCTAAGACCTATATCTTATGTTAGCCAAAAACAAATATCTGTGTCAGTTCTGTTGTTTATGGATGCCAGCAAATTGTTGGAAATGGTAGTCATTAAAGGCTGCTAAAAACTGGGTTGTCTGCTCAAATACATTCTATAGGAAACCTTTCTGGTGTCATGGACCCCCAAATTGATACACATCAGGCCGCGGACCTGTTTTTGATGTACTGTCTCAGGGATCACTGTGATTAAATAATTTATACCATAAGTGTCTGTACTGTAGATTGGGAGATTAACAGTGAAGTGAACTTATGAACAGAGCAGTCATTCTATACATTCTCTCATTGGGCTAAACTTTAGCCAACAAAATAACAGTAAAATTAAAATATTACCCATTCTTCTGGGGACCCACCGGGACCAGCATTTATTGTTACGATACACAACAACCAAACATGGCAACTTCTTTTGTGCTACAAGAAAGGGTATCAGCTCTGCTAAGTGGCTACTATTAGCAGCTCTGTTAACGCAGAAAATGACATAATAATATGGCTGCTAATAGAGCCTTAGGCCAACAGCTACTATGTATAAGCCTTGTTGTAAATTGATTGTGTTTTAATTTCTTCTGAGCTCTTTTTTTGGTTCATTCCTATATGGCACCCATGTAGGCTGGTGTTGTCATGTGTAATTGATATGAATAATTTATAAAAAAAAATAAAAAGGCTTTTGTGCTTTTCAATAGTATGTTTCATTAAAGGAATACAGTTTACCTTCTGAAATACATTTGTTTAGATAACATGAAGTGGCACCATCTGTATGTAGTGTCATCGTAGTTGTTGGCCTGTGTTCCCAGGTGTCTTTTTGCTCTCTCAAAAGATGTGCATAGATGGGTCTATTCACTGTTGTCAGGGGAGGTGTGTGTGTGTGTGTGTGTGTGTGTGTGTGTGTGTGTGTGTGTGTGTGTGTGTGTGTGTGTGTGTGTGTGTGTGTGTGTGTGTGTGTGTGTGTGTGTGTGTGTGTGTGTGTGTGTGTGTGTGTGTGTGTGTGTGTCCTTCCAGTGTGGCAGTAGTCCTTTCATAACCATGGCAACTCACTGTTTGGTCCTTCCTCCTCTCTTTTCTACCCTCTAACCCCCCTTCCTTTTACCCTCTTCTCTCCTCTCCTCTCCTTTCCTCTCCTCCAGGTATCCAGTCACATCCAGGTCTTAGCCAGAAGAAAATCCAGGGAGTTTCAATCCAAACTAAAGGTAAGGGAGGTAGTACACTCAGGGTCTGGTGGTGTGTTACAGTGAGAAATCCTCTGGTGCACAGGAAGTGATGTGTGTTTTATTTGCAGTTTGTTTGGTATAAATGGAGCTGATTAGTGTGAATTAACACTGATAAACACCATGGATGAACGGGCAGACAAAAGCGCCGCCTACAGAAACATAACCAGCTTTGACAGAGACCCCAAGGAAAGAGACGTCACAGTATTCAACACACTGATAAACAAGTGATCTCTGGGAAATGCAGTGTAAAAAAAAACTGCAGCATTTAGCCCCATAAAAAAATCTATAACACTACTGTGCGAATACTTTCACCTTCACAAATTAAGAGAATTGGGCTGTCCAGAAGCCTGTAGAGGCAATAGGAATCATTTGACTGTGTCTGCTTCACCATGTAATGCACAAAGGCAATCTGAATTCAGTGTTTGTCCCTTGCTTGTGAACTTTTCACTGTGGCTGGATGGATGCCTGTCACAGTGACTCCAGTATCCTAGGTGTCTAATTAGGCCTGTTAAGGTTTTCAACCCCCACCCCCCCTCTCTCTCTCCTTTTCTTTCTCTTCTTCCTGTCATTCTCTTATATCCATACATTCATTCATTTGTTCCTCTCCTCTTCCCTCCCTCTTCTTACACACTCTCCACCCTCCTTTCAGTCTATTAATCTCTCCTCCGTGTCTCCTCCTCCCTCTCTCCGTCTTTCTTTTCCTTCCTCACTGTCGGTTGTAATTAACTTCATGTAAAGCAACAAAGGAGCGCTTGTTTTCCAAGAAGAGCAGTCGGATCTCCGAATGGAGAGAACGCAAGGACTGGTTTGATTTTGTCTTCAAATAAATGACAGGTTGATTCAAAATTGATTGTAAAGATTATTTGAATCGATATAGATCTAACATAATGTGTGCCAATGTGTTATTGATGATACAGTATATGTGCTATATCTGTTTTCTTTAAAATGATATTAGAGGACACATTATGTTATAAAAATGGGACACTGACCAGAGTGCAATGTAGAAGAGTGAAAATGTATCATGATAAACTACATTGGACTAAAGATATTATTGTGTAACTTGACAGATTCTAAACTCTAAAATAAGGATCTCAATCAATCAGACCACAGGTTTGAAGGATATTTCCATTTTGGGCATGTTAATACTGGACTGAATAAAAAAAGAAGGCACCTAATATGTGTAATACGAGTGTGTGCCTTCTCTTAATTAATATTTTTTGTTATCAATGAATCTGTGTATTATTTTTATAATCAGTTTCACCACAGCCCAAGGTTACATTTTAAAACCCCATGATATTCTGTTTCAAATATAACAGAGAAAAAGCAGCACATGTTCACATTTGAGAAACCAGGAAATATTTGGCATTTTTGGTTTAAAGGTCTGGCGATATTCTGTATGTTCCATATTGTCAGCAAATCCAATGAAAAGACGAAAGCCAACAATAAATTGATCCTGTCAAAGCCTGTTATCACATCTATCTGCGCCTTAGATCGCTGTCCAAAAACTATTAAAACCACATGAAGGACGTACACTGTTACACTGGGTGACGTGTTCCTTGATTAGCATGAACACACACACTGTAGTTTGTTTTAAGTCAGTCCCACATTCACCGTTCTGCTGCCAGAAATACTCACCAGACCACCAAATGTGTATTAATCCGCTTCCGAAAGTATTCCACAACAAATGCACGATTTCCTCCTGTTTGAGTAACGTTTATTAAAAACTACAGTGCCCAGCTGTTCTAGGAAATCACAGAGCCTCTTAAAAAAATCAAACTTTATATTTGTACCATTTTCAAAAGATCTGTATCTCCAGCAGGACTGACACATTATTGATTTGGTCTTTTTGTGGGATTTGTTGCAAATAAGGAAAATATAGAATACAGCCAGCCTTATCTTTTTAGTAAATGACTTGCACGATTAATAGATTAACCCAAAAAATATTAATAAATAGTTTTGTCTGAGCACTATATATCATGGATTTGCAAATAGCACATCAGACGTCGTTTCAAAGAAATTAGTTCAGGTCAAGGATGTTATCAAACCCATATGGTTCCTGGTATTTAATATGAAAATCCAACATGATTCCCATCTCAGTACCTCCTATAATATTATTACCTCCCCTAGGAGGAGAGATTTCTCTCAGTACCAATTAACTTGAGTGAAGCTGCCAATTAGTGATTCTCCAGATATTGCAGCGCCTCTAATTCCATTTCATTCAGCTGTTTTCTGCTCTGAGTTTCATGTTGCTTTGAGTTCAGATGTTCCGAATGAACCCACAAGTTCAGACTTACCGTAAATACTGTATATGGAGCTGTTTGCCCTGAGGCAGCAGCAGCCCCGACCACTGATGCTCACTTTGTTGTGTGAAGCACATTCAGCCCTGATGCACACTTTGTGCTGCTCTTTGCTCGCCAATGTTGTTGCTATGACTTCCCCCGGGCCACAAGCCAGACCACCACACCCAAACGATACACACACACACACACACAGATAGGTATATTCCCTAAATCCTCTGCAACATCACAGGGAGCCAGTTCAAGGCAAAACAGGGGATTTAGACATGAACACACGTGGTTGCACACTGGTCAGTGCTGGATTTAGCTGATAATTAGAAAGGTCTGAAAGGTTAAATGCTAAAGTTGGCAGAGCCTGACCGCTGCTCTGCCTGGGGAGCTCTGATTGTCAAGATCAAAAGCATCAAAAATGATAATCCTGCACAGTATTTAGTAAAATTTCCTCCAGCGTTTTTAATCAGTGTTTTATTGTCTGTAAAGCAAGTTCTATTAAAATATACAAACAAAGCCTCTAAAGTGTCTGTTACTTTCCACTTTGCTGTACTGTAGGCAAATGAGCCCCTCCATATTTGGGCAGTTTACTCAAATTGCTGTATGTTGTGTAATCACAAAGTAGCAAGCACGCCAATCTGATCAAAACCAGTCAGATAATGACAGCTAGGAGGATAATGACAACTGTTATGAGTTTTCCCTTCAGGCCTTTGGTTCTCTCCAGGATTTTAAACCTCATTACTCAAGATAATTTCAATCATTCTTCAGATTTTTCTGGAATGTCCTGCTTTTGCTGGCTGAGTGGGGTGCCCTGATGTTTGCTTTCCGTGTGGTTACAGAATGTGAAGTGCATTCATTTTGAAGATGATATGATGAAGATGATGATAATGTGTGTGTTTGCTGCAGGATCAGAATGCCAAGGAGAAGGCTTTGCAGAGCATCTCCTCCATGTCCTCGGCACAGATCGTCTCAGCCACCGCCATACACAGCAAGCTCCTGCCTGGAATAGTACGAGCCAGCTTCCCCGGCAATGCACAGGTAACACACACACACACACACACACACACACACACACACACACACACACACACACACACACACACACACACACAAACAGAGTCCAGTATATTAATGTGTGTGCTTGTGTGTTTCTTTTCAGCTGTGGCAGGGGATGATTCCTGGAGGACAGTCCAGCTCCACCACAGAAGAGTGAGACACACTTACCTTATACACTCATATGTAACTAATCTAACTTTCTTGGTAGCAGCTGAGCTAGCTAGTGATCACTTTACACCAAGAGGGAGGGAAAAAGACCAACTGGTTCCAGGTTAAAATTGTGTCAACATAATGTATACAATTGTTTTCAGTACTGTCAGTTGGTCTCTGGCGCGTTAACGAACTCCTTTGCAACCTACGCAAGTCGTAAAAGACAGCAAGAAATGCTGTCAATTGGCCAGTTCAGCAAAAATCTCTGACTGTCACCCAATCTGACACAATGATGAAGGCAGATACAAATCTTGCGGACATGGATTCTAAACCCGACCTCTGTGATTTCTATAACTTCCAGTAGTTTCTGTTCACATGGCTTGTGTGGATCATTGAACTTCAAGTTCAAACCCTTTATGTTTCATTGCCAGCTGCTGTTACATGACCATGTGATGATGATAATGGTAGTAAACGGGTGGTATAGCTTTTACTGAACTCAGGGACACTCTTGACATCTGTGCTCCTGTTACTGTTCATACAAGACACAGAACAGAATTCCTTTCTGTATAATGTAGGTACAATGTGACTGTCCCTACTGTGTCTCTTCTTCTTTCAGCCTTTTTAATGCTCTCCTTTCTGTCTGTCTGTGTCTCTCTCAGCATCAAGCCGTTCTCTCAGCAAGCCTACACTGTGCAGACAGCAGGGACCACCACAATCTCAGGTGAGAGGGACCACGGTACAATTATCTCCTTTCTGTAAAGCGAACAGGCGGTCCTCTCTCCTGCCATTGAGGCCACTGGCTCTCTACAGGGTGGTTTTTCACTCGGTCTGGGAACCTGGGTCCTGAGGTTTCTCTTGTGAAGAGGTCAAAGAGAGACAAAGGTCACTTCTTACAGTGTCTACTCTAAAAATGTAATAAAATAATTTGAACTGAAATTAAAAAACATTTTTGCCAAGAAATTGGTATATACTGTATGTAGATATCCTTGGTTTGTTTCTTATCACCTTTACCAAGTATCTGTGCTGAGGTAACATGACTGCTGCTGTGAGTTTTGGTCATTTGCCATTACCACAGCTGGACCCTTGAAAGAGGCTGCCCGCCCTCCTTTATATGATTCAGAAAAAAAAGTAACGTCTAGTGCAGGGGTGCCCAAACTTTTTCCTTTGGAAGACCAAAACTGAAACTTAGCGGTAGGCCACAGGCCAAAAGCAAACACCTATTGTATTGTATTGTATTGTATTGTATTGTATTGTATTGTATTGTATTGTATTGTATTGTATTGTATTGTTTAGATACAAAATGGTGCAAGTTAAAGGTACAGTAGCTAACTTTTATAAATGCCTTTTATAAGGGGCCCTGATCAAGTCGGAATCAGCACTAATGTTAGTAAGGTAGTTAGTCGATTGAAGTGGGAATATGTTCTTACCATACCCGGCTAGGCTAACAAGCTTTCACTTGTACAAAAGTACAAAATAAGACCGGAATTAATTCCATTCATTCCTACTCGCTAGATAGCTTTAAAATCTGTGAGTCGGACGTACATATTTGGGGTCGGTAAATCCCTAAAAAAATTATAATATTAAAGGATTTGGGGGTTGGTTCAATATAGGAAGAAAGAAAAATGCTAGATATCCAAAATGTACATTTTTAATTAATTAATTTATGATTACTATTCTGCGGGCTGGATGGAAAGATTTGGCAGGCCACTTGACTTACCTGTATTGTTGATATTCCATGATGCATGTATGAGCTTTGAGTCAGAACCCAAGAGATTTCACTGTGTCCTCATCATTGTAACACCTACTTTTGATAGGCGCTTTTCAGTGCTCCAACCTCACCTCGGCTAGGCTTTGTCCACGAGACTCCAGTAATGGCATAAATTTTACCCGTTGGGTGCAAAGAATAATGCTAGCATTACTGCTGACCCTGTTAAATATCATGATTATACATGATGGCAGCGATGGAGTGAGGTCAAACTGTGTGTGTGTTTGCTGTCTAGGCTACGAGCCTCCCACTGCAGCCCAAACACACAGAGAGCCAGCGTGGCATGGCCGCTCCATCGGCACCACCAAACTACGACTGGTGGAGTTTTCATCTTTCCTGGAGACACAGAGGGACCAGGAGGCAGTAAGTGCCACACACACACACACACACACACACACACACACACACACAGAGCAGCAGTCTACAATAAGCACTCCCTATTGTCCCATAAACAGAGATGACAGATAACCCTGCTGCAGAGAACCGCGTTAAAGCCTTTTGTGTGTATCCTAGTATGAATAACCTTTGTAAAGCTCTATCTCTCTGTCTACTCGGTCTATCTATCATCCTGCCACACTGTGGACATGCTGTCGTTTTTCTACCTCGGGCTCACAGACAGCTGGCATTCATCTTGTTGCTTTCTGTTTGGACAGTTAAAAACCTCGAACTGTTCTATGTTGACTTTGAAATAGACTCCGTTGTCAAAAACTGTCACATTTCCTGCATATTTTTACATTAGTGTAAATGAGGGCCTCTCAGGGGGTCAAATTTTTTTGCATCATAATTGTTAAAGCTGCAGCAGGTAACTTTATTTATATATATATATATATATATATATATATATATATATATATATATATATATATATATATAATATAAAGAAATGTCTTATTTGCTGAAGCTTTCACTATATCCTGACAGTAGTACATGAGATAGTCTGTGAAAAAATCAGGTTCCTCTGGCTCCTAGCACTCCTAATGATATTTGCAAGCATCCCCCGTACCCGAAAGAAAACAACCAATCAGAGCCGAGACAGTATCTTTATTATTTTATCTGATTATCTTTCAAATGTAATACTGTCAGGATATAGTAAGGTTTCACCAATAAACATTATTTTTTTTAAAGTTACCTACTGCAGCTTTAAAGGAAAATTCTGAAGTGATTTTACAACCCGAGTTGAACATATATTATCATGACTGATTTATAGTAAATTGTGATTACTTTACAGTCCACGTTAGTTGTAAACATAGTGATACTCAATAGGTTAATGGCAAGTATGATCACAAATCTATTTACATTTTTTTCATCATGAAAAAATTAAAGAGAATAAAGAGTAGTACATTCTCACAAAAGAACCCCAAAACAATTTAGCTCAGATTCACTAATACAGGATTAAAATACCATAAGCAGCAGTGTGTATACATTTACCCAAGATGCTTGTGGCTGTAAATATGTGTACGTCTGCATGTAAGTCGAGCAAAAGATGCAAACAAAACAGGGACAGGCATATAAAAACATTGCTCCATAGTGCCACCAGTGGTCAAAAACGTCATGGCACAACTTTAATTTAAAAGATCTGGGGACACTGTGTGGTCTCTGTACTCCTCGTATTTTTGAGGAAAACCCTCCAAAACTGTCAGTCTTTTTTTTGCCGCAGTGTTTCATACATGGAGAGTAAAGTTGTCTTCTATCTGTACTTTTTCCTGCCTCCATCCCTGCCTAATTTAACTGTTTCCCTCCCCTCAGTACAACAAGCACCTGTTTGTGCACATCAGCCAGAGCAGCCCGAGCTACAGCGACCCCCTGCTGGAGTGTGTGGACATCAGGCAGATTTACGATAAGTTCCCCGAGAAGAAGGGCGGCCTCAAGGAGCTGTTCGGCAAGGGCCCGCAAAACGCTTTCTACCTGATCAAGTTCTGGGTGAGCAGCAGACAAACCTACTTACCTACTTCCTGTTTAAGTGAGAGTTTATTTTCATTTAATTTCCCTTTTTTCAATTTCCAAAACTCACTCTTTCAAACTTCGGCCATTTTTTTCCTCAAGTTTGTTTTTGTAAATTTCTTGGCCATCGATGAGCAGGGTCAGAACGTACCCCACAATTGTATTGTATTGTACTGTATTTTTCCACCCATTGCCATGTCTCTTTGTGTGTGTGTGTGTGTGTGTGTGTGTGTGTGTGTGTGTGTGTGTGTGTGTGTGTGTGTGTGAGTGTGTGTGTGTGTGTGTGTGTGTGTGTGTGTGTGTGTGCCTATCTTTCCACCTGGGATATGGAGGTGGTGGGTTGATGAAAGCACAGTCGCTTTGTTTGAACACCTGCTCACCTCCTGACTCACAGGTTGCTCTGTCTCCACCTGTGTGTGTGTGTGTGTGTGTGTGTGTGTGTGTTGACTTTACTGTTCTATCTCAGAGCTGCAGTAACCAAAGGACTTTCAAATATTCCAGCAACGGAACGAATTACACATTTATTCATTTCTTTTTCATCAGAGAAATGGTGACACAGTTAGTCTCCAAAGTCTCAAGTGGGTGACGTGAAAAGACAAATTTTGTTATAAACTTCCAAATTGGTGTGGGACTTCCCTTTTATTGTTACTTTGGCTTTTCTTTCTTTGTCTTGAAATGCAACTCTGATGGCTTCTCATGATATAATGCTAAAACAGTGGTTCCCAGCCTGGGGGTCTGGACCCCCACCGGGGGTCGCAAGGCCTTCTGGATTGTAAGGTGTGCTAGAAAATGTAATATACACAGTAGGCCTATATCTCAGCAAGTCAAAAAAAAGAATCCAATTAAGTATGTATGATTGTTAAATACAGACATATAAAAATGTCCATAAACAGGAAATAATCTGCTTAAAATGTATCAAAATCTCTGGTTTTACACAAAAATATTGCAGTTACTGAGTTCACTGTTTGGGTTCATTGTACAGTTTTGAAAACAATATGAATTATCCATAATATGTGTCACTTAAGCAAGGGTCATCAGTTTACTAAATGACACTATCTCAGGTAACGATGGCTGGGGTTGCCATGGGGTGACATCACCCATTGGTTTGTGGAGTCCTGTTTTGAAGCCTTGAGTCTGGCATTGTGCCCGTCACCATGTTGTCTTTTTGGAGCCAGCAGCGGTGACATACTGCGAGTTGAGCTGCGCTCATTGGCTGCACTTGGTGCCCGCCTGGTTACGCACATTCTCGTATTACAGATAAACAGCACACTAAAATATGTTCCTGAAAAGAGATATTTGATCAGCACTGCCTAGTTTGACAGTTTGGCATGGTGCGGTTGTCTCACTGAAAATGACTTTCACAAGGTAGCCATGCCCTAAAGCATACCCTGCTTAATTGTCTATTTTACTCTAAATGGGACCAGAATTTACTATGGAGCTGCCCCCTGCTGGCTATTAGATAGAATGCAGGTTAATGACACTTCCGTGTTGGCTTCACTTTACCGACCCGTAAGCTCTGTCTACTAATTACACACTGACAGTGGCTTTTCTCACAGTGGGGAAATACTACACAGCAGATGGGAATAATGTATGTTAAGCATGCAGGCAGTGTGTTGGTTAGCCAGACATGCTTAACGTTACCACAGACAAATCTGAATTTAAATGTAGCTGTGAGATTGTCCACAGTAGAATCTTGCTACATGACAGAAGGCTGCAGGCCGGTGAAGTAGGTTTAGTATACAATAAATGTAGAAGTGATGAGATGTGATTGTAGCATGAAAACAAAGAGTATGAGTGTGTGTGTGCCATGTAAGGAGCCTCCCCTCTGAATTTAATTAAAAAGCTCTCTGATCTACCACAATGGAGTGTGTTTGTGATAATCTGCTGCTTTAATAGAGCACAGTTTGATGTTTGTGTGCGTGTGTATGTGAATGGATGTACAAGTGGGTGACGTAAGATATGGTGTGTGTGTGTGTGTGTGTGTGTGTGTGTGTGTGTGTGTGTGTGTGTGTGTGTGTGTGTGTGTGTGTGTGTGTGTGTGTGTGTGTGTGTGTGCATGTGTTCTCAGCTCTGAGAAACGCAGTGCTCCTCAGAGAACTCATTACAAATAGTACAAACCCTTCTCCGCTTCTCTCAGCCTGTAATCCAGGTGCAGCATGTCCTCACTGCTCTGATTAAACAACTTCAGTGACACAAAGTTACACCAGAATCTTGTTTCTTGCCCTGCAGTATCTTCCAGTATTATTAGAAACTAGATTAGTATCTCACTAAGGTGCATTAAAGCATAAAGAAATCTGCTACCAACTGTTTGGGTAACAATATAGCTATTTAAAGGCTCACTTCGCCAAAATTACAACAAAACCTGTTTGCTCCATCTGTGAGATTTCTGCATCCTCTCCAGCACAATGAAGGGAAGGAGAATTTATTTGGTGATGTTCACAGCACTGAAAAATAATTTTAACCTTTTTACAAGCAGCTGCAAACCAGGGGGTCGGTCAGTACCCAGCGCATGCTGTGCAGACAAACATTGTTTGTTTTGAAGTCTAGTGATCCAAAAGTTTTCAAAGATACCAAAAATTCCAGGCTGAATTTGGAGAACTAATAAATATAGTCCAAAAATCAGAAATCACAAATTTGCCAACATACGACAGCCTCTTGCCTTAGACTCCATGTGAATAAGGGGAGAATAGTAGTAAGTTGTGTGTTCAAAGCAGACAGGAATAATAATCCTAAAATTACTATATCTATAATAATAGTAATAGAATTTTTTTTTCCAGAATCAGTGTCCCTGTTTTGATAATCCACAGACATAGGGACTATTTCTCCAGTTAAAAGTAATTCCAGTGAATTCCTCCTTGTTTTCGGGTGGAGGCAGAAATCTTGATTGGAATCTAAACCTGGACAAATAAAGAGGGTGTGAGTAAAACATGCTTTTGTAATGTGGGTGAACTAACATAATAGTTAAATGGACAATAATAATCTCTATCATTATGACTATGCAGCAAATAAGATAAAAAGAGAGAAACTGTGCGGCAGGTTTCAGACCCGTTCAGTCTCAAACAACCCAGACTGATACACCACTGTGCACTGGCAAACAAAAGACTAGTAGGGATCCAGAAGAAAAAATACAGATGATAAATGAATATCAGTTTTAGTAGTGCAATAAGCAGTTTGAGCACGTCATTGCTCAGTGACTGAGCTACCAGCAGAGGGCACTGTAGGTTAACTTTGGTGGCAGGCAACGCTCCTTTACTCATGTTTCTGGGAATGAGGATGGATTTCATTGTAGGATTTTGATCAGAGACATTAACACTGTCATTAAATGTGCTGGAAGTAATGTACTCTAATTTTGCTCTGCGGTTGCCAGGCGGACCTGAATCACAACATGCAGGACGACCCTGCGGCCTTCTACGGTGTCAGCAGCCAATACGAGAGCTCGGAGAACATGACCATCACCTGCTCCACTAAGGTCTGCTCCTTCGGCAAGCAGGTGGTCGAGAAGGTGGAGGTGAGGATGGATTCAAATTGTGGTGTACTCTGGTTAAGGGTAGTGATCCGAGATCTTTCTGTGGGCATTAATGTCTGCTGTGCTGCACTTTTATCACTGAAATCAAACTATAAGGGATCAAACTCAAAGCCAAATTCTATGTCAGTAATTAAATATTGTATATGTATTAAGTGGTGCAACTTGTAAGTACACATTGAAAAAATAATGGTCAAAATTGGCACTGCCTTATCATGATTTTTAGTCCCTCATATGAGCTCCAAAAACATTGAATCCTACACATCCCATAACGCAACCTAATTTTTTTCTTTATTAAACCCTTCCTGCCTTGTAAATTAACACGTCTTCCTTTCCAATTCCAGTCTCCTGCTTTGCACCACAGGCTTTCTGATCCAAATGTGTAAACATCGAATCCCGGTGACATGGTAACCGATGGTAACTGATTTCTCTCTCTCCCCCTCTCTCAGACGGAGTATGCGAGGTTTGAAAACGGGCGCTTTGTCTACAGAATCAGTCGCTCTCCGATGTGTGAATACATGATCAACTTCATCCACAAGCTCAAACACCTGCCTGAGAAATACATGATGAACAGTGTGCTGGAGAACTTCACTATTCTGCTGGTGAGGACGTCAGTCAGTGTGTCTGTCTGTCTGTCTCTCTGTGCATGTGAATGAATTCACAATTTTTGTGTGTGTGTGTTTACATATTTAACAGCTTACTTTTTATCCCCTCTCTCCTTGGTGGTGTGTGTGTGTGTGTGTGTGTGTGTGTGTGTGTGTGTGTGTGTGTGTGTGTGTGTGTGTGTGTGTGTGTGTGTGTGTGTGTGTTCAGGTTGTGAGCAACAGAGACACTCAGGAGACCTTGCTGTGTATGGCGTGTGTGTTCGAGGTGTCCAACAATGAGCACGGAGCACAGCACCACATCTATCGACTCGTCAAGGAATAATGCACACACTTGCACACACACATACACAAACACACATATGGCCTTTGTTTGGTGATTAATGGTGACATTGGAGGTACAATGTCTAAAAACAGAATTCTACTAAAGCCTCTTTCAGCCAAACAACTCAAGGAAGAAAATGGCTGCACTTTCACTGCTGCTCACGGCAATAATTGGGTAATTTTTAATTAACATCAGATATGACACAGTATGCTGCAGAGTCCTCCCCAACTGGATCAGTTTAACACATACATATTAACTCCAACCTGAATATCAGATGCTTATTAGCTGTAAAAAGCACAGTGGCAGCGCAGCCATAGAAACACATCAGAATCCACCGGGTGGTTTTCCCAACAACATCCTGACTCTGATATCACCAGGAGATGTCGTGACTCCTGCTAATTGGTTTCTTGTCCACTTTCTCCCAGTAAATTTGTATTTTGCTGTTCGGATGATGGAAATGAACGTGGTATTTCTGTCATGTGCTTTTGGGAAAATCAACCCAGGCAGAAAAACAAGAATCTCATAATTTCCGCCCCCAAGATAAAAGTGTGTGTGTGTGTGTTTTATCTGCAAAGATACTGACGGACACTGAAGGTCAGACCCTGTGTATCATCAATAACCAGAGAATGAAATAACACTACTGCATTATCATATAGTACAGTGTAGAGGTGGTTTTGTACAGATAGCCACTGACAATTGTGTGAGCTGCATTCTTGCACAAAAAAAGAGGTTTGTCCCAAAGAAAAGAAATCAAATTTTTACCTTTTTTGTATGTTTTCTTTTTAAAAAAAACAACAAATTGCTTCTAAACTTTGGGAAATTGTTTATTGATAGTAGCATATAGACTATATTTTAATTCCAGGAACACTATCTAAAATTTATGTTAATAAGAAAGTATAAATGAAATTGAACAATTCAGGTACCTTTTTGTGCAACAAGTGACTCTTCATCAAGATTGACTAAATAAATAATTAAGCCTGTTAAAGCTATAATCCTTAAGATTTTCTGTCCTGGTTGATTTAGTGATAACTAATTTTTCTAACCCTGGTGACAAATTACGCATTACGCTTCCTATGACTGCTTCACAATAAAAGCCCCTCCATGTTTCATCAGTTGAATGCTGCTAGTGTGAAGTTTCAGCAGGAGGAAATGTAGGGTTAGCATTAGCAGTAATTTAATACAGCTCTGATATGGCTGTAGAAGAGTGAATACTAAACAGTGAAATTACAAACTCAAATGCTGGATCACAGACATTGATCGTGTCCAGTGAGGCAATTTGAATCCAGAATGGGAATGGTGGACTCCGCCACTAACAAGAAAAATGTGTCATATCAAGTGATATTTAGAATGGCTATTGCTGAAAAAATGCAGATCATAAACAGTTAAAAATACAGGGTTTGACTTCATGAAAATCTTAAGTATTATAACTATATATAACAAATATATTGTGGTCAGTCCATAGGGAAGCACTGTGAATCTTTATACATCATTCATGGTGTACAAGAGAAGGAAATGTTAAAACAAGCCTACAATTTTTCTGATAGGGTTTCACTTTGGAAATTAAACTTAGCTTAGTTCAGTATTCTTGCACCAGCTAACTTGAGCTTTAACATGTCCATACTGACAAATGTGTCATGCCTGAAATGTTATTACGTCCATATTTCAATTGAAGACTGCCCTCCAAGAGGCCTTGGCGCCCGTTTTTCAGTTTGAGAGTTCTCCATGTCAGGACAGCTTATTCAGTGGAAATTAAAAATGGACATTCAAATGGTTGAAGACACAGTTCCCTTCAATCTGTCCAGGAATAGTTTCTTCTAATTAGGTGGTATTATGTCAGCATTAAAGTAATTTATTAATCAAAAACCAAAAACTGTTGATGAAGTGTACTATAGCAGGTGATTGGTGGTTTTGTCTGTCTCATGCTCAGCAGCATGAAGTGCCTTTGGTTGGGAACAGCAGTAGACATTTCTAATCTGTTTCATGTAAGTTCTGATAATTTGGTGTTGTAGATGGTGTATAGACAGGCATTTTAGTGAATATAAAGAATGCATAATTAGGTATCTCATGCTCCAGTTTTCACTGTCTGAGGGCTAATTATCCAAATTCCATATTTAATGGCTGTTTCTTGTTGTAATTTGTAGACAGTCAGCACTGAAGCGTCATAAAGACTTAACTGTTTTTATATCCCGGCTGTTAAAGAGACACATTCTTGTTTACTTGGTATCTTATGGCAGCATTTACATGTATTTGCATTTGTGTATTACATGTATGTGTGACATATTCATGTTGAAACAGCTTGCACACTATTGTCTGGTGCCTCTTTTATAAAATGCAACTTGGATTTGTTACTACTAGAGAAGACCAATTCTAATTTGCATATCTTTACATCTCTGATGTAATACGATTTGAAGGATCTAGGCCATTATTGACCCTAGACTTAGTAGGGAGTCCTTATTGGTAAAGGTGTTTTCCTTATAAAGAAAGTGTTTGACATTTTAAGAAATACACTTATTTGCCTTCTTGCTGAGAGTTATGAGATTGATACCGCTCGTGTATCTGTGTGCTAAGGCTGGAGTAATGACACTGATAGCTTAGCATAAAGACTGGAAACGGGGAAACAGCTAGTCTGGTTCTGTCCAACAAAGTCAACCTACTAGCACATTTAAAACTCACTGGTGAACATGTTAAGTCATTTTTTTTTAAAACACACAAAACCCCAAATTAAAAACAAACAAGAAGTTACTGTGCTCAGTGAGATTTAGAAGAGGCCTTTTTTCCCGCTGCTAAGTGAAACAGCTGCTAGCTGTAGCTCCATATTTACAGCACAGACATGAGTGGGATCCATCTTCTCGTCAAACTCTTGGCAAGAAGACTACTATTTTCCAAAATGTCAAACTTTTTCAAAACTTAAAAATCAATTAAGACTACACTACCATACGATTAGCATCCCAACAAGTAGCCCTAGTAGTAAACCTGCTTATTCAAACCACCCCCAGGCTTCCTCTTGTATGGTTGGTAGTGCGAAGACTCGTGACAGACTCATTATGTTCGCCATTTACACTGACAAATGAGGCCCCAAGGTTTTTTAACATCTATAATAATGAATAATAAAGTGTAATAATGAACAAACTGATGTTAGTGTCCAGAATACCCACTAACTTTAAAGGATAACACTGCAAATTTACCTTTTATACCATTTTACCAGACCCATAATGAGTCATCTTTAGTCAGAAGCTGTTTGGTCTTAATGACAAATGGCTCGTATCTGACTCAGATCTGACTTGCGAGGACCAGATTTGCCATTGTCCAAAACCACTACCACACACTTTGACTCTATTTGTCTTAAGACTCCTGTGGGTGTCTCTCAGGGTTACAACCACCTGTCCAACAAAATACAACCCTTTCGACACACTGGTGAATCATTCTGTCAGGAAACCCCCTTTCAACCCCCCCCCTCAACTTTCCCAGAGTTTTGTCTCACACTACAGTAGTTAGTTGTTTGCAAACTACTAGACCTTCACAGCAGAGTACCAACATGTAACATGTACATGATAACCTAACAGCCTGAAAGGGGCTGATTTTGCAATAATGACCCTCTGTCTGGACATTATCTGCCACCTGCTTACCAAAGACAGTCATCACGTGACACAGAATACAGAGGAAAGGGGATTTATTACAAGCTAAAGTAACTTACAAGCTTCTGCCAAAAAAAGAGTTTCAAGAAAAAGGACTATCAACCTAGAAACATCTGTAGCTCATGGACTACACTGTAAAACTGTACCGATGTAAGTAAAAAAGAATAAATACAACGAAACAAACAAAAAGTTATGGAAATAGGCTTTTAAAAAACCCTTTTAACCTGGTTTATAAAAGTGTGCATCAACATGTTTTTGTCTTTAAACACATAATTGATAATTTCATCAAATATGGACACCTCTTATCTTGGTTGGCAGACTGAAGAAGCCCTGTATGAGAAGGCCACTGGAAACGGATTTATGCCCGAAATGTCTGTTAAATTTTACAAGGACTCAATTTTTAAATGTCCACTCATAATAATCAGCTAGAAAATGTGCTCATGCTCATAAAGTCACACGAAAAGCAGTGTATACACGATGCCTAAAGGTCGTTCAAAAGGTTTCTGAATCATCGTCGTCTGTGTTGTTAATGTCGTCTTGTGTGTGCAAGTTGGATATTTATCTTCTTTTCCGAACCACGTGTGGCACAGAGATCCTGTCTGTAATCAATTCCAAAATGGCCTTGAATCTTTTCGCTCCGGTGCACGTGCAGCACAGCTGTGTGTGCACTGAGGGTTTTTGATAAGGTGCTTTGTATAAAAGTGACAATAACGTTTATTACAGATGTTGTGTATATCTTTGATATTCTAATGTTTATCCTATTTTGCGAAGAAGAGAGTACATTTAGGAAAATCCAAAAGCTAGCAATGTGTGTCTATTGGTACTGCACAGGGTCTGATCTTTGCTTTGTAACTTTTTTCCCCCTCATGGCTAAAAGTATGTTAGATATTTTCTAGCTTTGTAGAGACTTTGTACGCATATGCTATTCAGTTTAAATAAATGGTCAGTTCCAAACTGTGCTCCGGCGTTTTGTCGTTACTCATTAACAATAATGTCTGAACTCTGAATCCACCACAAGTCAACTGAGAGTGTATTTTTGTCATATTTTATTAAAATTATATATATTATCTTATATAAACTATTACCACATGGCCGGCGTTCTACAGTTAGGTCACATGATAAGTGAGTGAAATCCAATCTGTTCATTGATGAAAGCACTCTGTCAGTGTCATTCACAGTGTTTACCTTATATGCAACACTTATGTGAAACAGAAACATACAGAAGTACAGTAAAAACAAAATGTCTCATTACAATAAATTCACTCAGTTCAGTCTAGATATCTGTGGAGCAGCCTGGCTCCCAACGCTACTGCAGCATGTAAGGGTTCAACCACATTCAGTGAGTGATGGACAGGGCTGCACGTTGCATAAGAGACCACGCTCGGAAGGATCACATAAAGCAGGGGTCTTAAACTGCCAGCCTGGGGGCCATTTCCAGCCCTCCAGCCCCCTCCTTCCAATCTGTGATATTTCATAAATATAATATAATCTGTCCCACAAGATCATTATTAGTTTGTTTTTCTAGTTGTTTCATATCAATTTAAACTAAACTAAACCCCTTAAAATACAACTATAATAAATAATACAATTTCATTATAACAAATGCTAAGTCATGGCAAAGGTGGATGCAAAAGCTTGCACACAGTTAATTTGTTGTTTGGCTGAAAACAACAAAGATTATATAAAACAATCTAAAATATGTATGAAACTGCTGTTCACATTTTTGTTGATGATTAGTAATAGAAATAGTTTATTTATAATAGTACTTGAATGTTGCAGTGGGCCTTGTATGAGATGATAATACCAGCAGTGGCCCCAAGCCAGTCTGAGTTTGAGACCCCTGACATGGTTTGCTATTGTCAGCACAGCAACTGTACAGACAGTGGTCTTTTAGTCACATTGCCCCACTATAGCTGACAGAGCTGTTGAGGTGGACTTCAGTGTGGCCACTTATGTCAGCAGTAGGTGAGATCCACAAAAATGCACCTGGGACTGCGGGTAAAGTAGCATTAATACTGAGTGAATTATCCTGGTGAAATTTAGTAAAATTCTACATTTTAAACGCTTGTTGCTTTTCTGGTCACAGCTTTGAAAAAAATTATTTAATGGGCAAAGGATTAGAATGCATGGAATAAGCCAGGAAACCTCAACCCTCTGAACAAAGTTTATTGTCTCCAAAACTTAAAGTTGCATTTCTGAATATAAAGGGGGAAGGGAAAAACACACATGGGCTGTTGACTCTGAAATAAAACAAACATAAGATTAGAATTTAAAGTCAACTTAGTCTCAAATGTTCATCTTAAATAAATAAGGATAAATAAAGTTTTTAGATTAACTAACATGAAAACAGGATAAGAATGAAAGTACTGCCACCCCGTGAGTGAAAAGGGAGAGCAGCCTTTAAATAAGGAGTGATTGGGTGAACTCAGACAGGTAAATGAGGAGTGACAAAGGGTGAAAGTAAGAGCCAATCGGTAATTAAGAAAAGACAGGAAAGGAAGTGAGGTAGATAGAGAAAGGAAGAACAAATCTAATAAAACTGGAATCTTTACTACACAAAACACTTCTGAGAGTTATACAGTTTGTTGGAGGAGCACTTGGTCACTTGGTCGACTGTGTGGAAGCAACAAGAAATGCATTTAAGAAATTCAGTGTTTGTAGAATCACGGTTTTTGTCCGATGGCCACTGAGCAAAACTGTAAGATTTTTTTGTCATGAACAAATGTTGTGCAAATGAACCTCATATGACAGTTGGTGAATGACTTTATAGTGTAGATTCTTGTATTAACACCAGAGGGAGCCATAGTCAAAGAATTCAACCCAGAGCTCTCCCGGCTTTATATTTCTATTCATGACATGATAAACTTAAGACATCACTTTCATGTTTGTATTTGCATAAATAGCCATAATCAATCATACTCATTTGCTCTTAAGATGATGAATTTATCCACCTCTCAGTAAATTTGATGGATGACACCTTTGTATAATGCTAAATTGGGTTTTCCACACAGCAAAAACTCTTCTGGGTTCTTTTTTTTGTTTGTTTTTAAATGTCTGGCTTTGTGGCTCTTTATGAATTATACTTGCAAATACATTTTGGATAACTAGACTCACCTAACCAGGGGTGGACACAGTAGGGTGGCACTGGGTGGCAGCTGCCGCCCCTAAAGAATGCCTGGCCACCCCAGTTTGGTGTCAAATGCTGTTAAAATGAATACATTAATTTAGATTAATAATAATAAAAGAATGTGTTAAAAACTTAAATTAATTTCATGTTCTGTTATGGCCTCATTTTAGACAAAGTGATAGGATTAAGTTTAGTGAAAAAAATACCTTTAGATATTTCTATTCAATGCTTTACTAATAGGCTAGTGAGAAGGCACCCAAAATCTTGAGATACTCTCACCAGAGGTAGAACAAAGCACAGCAATTGTTTTTATATTCTCCAAGGTCTCCCTTATATGAAATGTATAAAAGTATTTTACTGTAAAAGTGGTTTAATAGATATTGTGACACACCCCATAAATAAAAAAGTGAAAAATAAAGCCAGGCCAAGTGGGAGATGATACAACTGAACTCATGTAATTTCGTGAAAAAACAGAATGTGAAAATCTTGATGCATTGAAGAAATACAATTACACACAATCCAATTTCAGGATCTATGATGAATGTATTCATTTATGTTAAGGAAGCTTTGGCTGGGATAGTCCCAGAAACACCAACCAGGGTTAGCTAGAAAGGCCTGAATCCGGCAATGTATAATATGTAACTGTAGCAGGTATGGTCAGTGGACTACATTAAGAAATGTATGACGTGTGCCACAATAATGTTTTTGAATTCAAATATTGAAAGCCTTTATGTGCGATTAAATCAGCATATATTTCTGCTACCCCATGAATATTCCTCTAGATCCCTCCCTTCACCCAACACTTTATTTAAACCAACAGCGGACCGGTGATCTTTAGGGAAACAAGCCATTTTTGCTTTGTGGTCACATGTATTGAGGTAACACTGGAAACCGTTTACAGCCAATAATAAGTCTCCAGGTCAGACACATGTAATGACCTCACAGGAAATGAGATCAGAGATTAGAAAAACATTCTGTTATCTGCACATCCCAGACGTAGCACTGACAGTCCTCTTTATCTAAATCTAGTGTTTGTGGTGTATGCTGTGAATGTGTGCGCACACATGCTGCTGTGTGTAATGCGTCTGTATGCGCGCAGTGTGGTCACACTCCCAGATGGTTTCCTAAGCAGTTATTTTACCAACAAACCTGGCCTGATGCATCACTCTGAGCCACAAACAGACTAATGGTGGCTGGTGGGGATGAACACTTGCCATTAATGTAACACTCACACACACCAAAACACTCTTAATGCAGATAAATCCTTTTATAAGTTTCATCGAGCATATTCTGGCCTGAAATAGTTGAAAGAGCAGATTATGGAGTCAGACTATATGAGAACCCTGCAGGGTGCAATAGATGGATTTCTCTCTGCTTTATGCTCAATCCAGCTGAGCTTTATCATACTGAGACATTCAGCTGTGTGGGGATTATGAAGATGAAACTGTATAACAATGCATACTGCAGTGTAACACTGCTGAGTAAGAGCTTCAGTGTTTTAGCTTCAGTCTGTGGTTCTTTTTGGCTTGTAACCTGGACTCATTAGTTCTAGGTTGTGTGGGCGCCAGGAAAAAAAACAAGTATTATATACATCCACAGAATGCAGAACTGCAGCAGGACTACTGATTGTGTGAGATTTGCAAAGAATCATTTTAGTGGGAAATCACAAATACAAAACCACGCACCAGCTGTATCAGGGATTATGAGGTTTGCATGCTGTCCTGCAAAAACATATGGTTTGTACACAGTGCTGGAAGAAGTACTGAAATCTTTTACTTACAGGCCCTTTGTACCATGAGCGATGGTTTGTGCTCTCCTTACTGGGTTCAGCAACATACAGAATTTGCACCAGATGGGAAGGTTGTTTGCTTATGTTGCCTGGCTGCTAGAGTCAAAACTGATTCATATTAAATGTTATTTTCCAGTCAGAATTCAGTGTTTCTCTTCCTACAGTATGCTGTGTGAATGGTGTCTGTGCAGAGTTTGACACTAGAAGGATGTTTTCACATTTATCTGCTGAAAGTGGAAAGTTTCTCAGTCCTGGTTCAGTATGTAACTTGTACAGTGTGATGTAGAAACTTGAAGCCCACAGTGCACATCCAATGAGAATGGACTTTACAGTGAAGTAGGAGACATCTTGTGTCCAGCAGCAAAACTTTAAACCTCTAAATTTGCGTATTCAGAGATGGGAATTATACACACGTTATTATGTATACAAACATACCAGACAGAGTATTGTTCCAAGCAGATTCTTCAGATATGTCTTAATATATGTCTGGAGGGGATCTTTACAAACTCTGCATTCAAAAATTAAGTAAGTTTACAGAAATATTATCATTAACATGCACACTGGTAAATATTATTTTATTAGCCAGTTATTACTGATGCTTTGAATGCAGCATTTCAATACTGTAGCTGGAGCTGATTTTAAGGATTTTTAAGGAGAATACTTTATATACATGCATCATGTTTTATCAGCTGACCCTCAGTCCTGTGTCTGTGTGACACAGAGAGAGAGAGAGAGAGAGAGAGATACAAAGAGAGAGAGAGAGAGAGAGAGAGAGAGAGAGAGAGAGAGAGAGAGAGAGGCAGGGAGGCGTGTCCCAGCCGTTACAGCACCCTCCTGTTTTGCCCCACTCACAGCACAGCAGCCTGTCCGGACACAAGGACGCACCTCTCCTCTCCGGAAAAGCGCGCAGGGCTGAGCTCAATCCGCCGGGGAGAGAGGGATGAAGTCCCGGCAGGCAGCCCGGGAACAGACCACTGGGAGACTATGACTGGATGCAATATTTCTAAAGACAACTCTGGCTGTCATTCAAGGCGTAACAAGGTTATAGGGTCGGACTTCTGAGCGCATTTCAACTGGGAGCGCAGACTATCTGTTTTGGATGAATGTTTTGCGTCAGTTTCTCTCATAGCAACCTCATTAAGTTTTCAGTCAAGTTCAAATCTAAAGACTGCTTCGGTCTCTTTACTTTCTGAGCTGCCACACAGTGACACAAAGAGGACACGTTGTCGAAACTTTTTTCTCTCAGAGTTGAGCCGGAGATGGAGCCGGAGGAGGGGAAGATCTCCGTGTGGGTCTGCCGGGAGGAGAAGCTGGTCTCCGGGCTGACGAAGCGAACCACCTGCGCCGACGTGGTCAAAGTCCTGTTGGAGGACCAGAACCTCCAGCAGGGCGCCTCGGCGGCGATGCTGTCCGGCTCCCCGCAGTCCTACTGCGTGGTGGAGAAATGGAGAGGCTTCGAGAGGATTTTACCAAACAAGACCAAAATCCTCCGGCTGTGGAGCGCCTGGGGGGACGAGCAAGAGAATGTCCGCTTCGTCCTGGTGAAGAACGAGGCTTCGCTGCCCAACAACGGGCCCCGCAGCGCTGAGGCCCGGGTGGTCCAGAGCCGGGAGAGCGGCGGTCCGGGCGGGGTGCTCAAGGGCACCGCCAAGACGTGCTGGACCGCCGCGGCCGCTGCCGCTAACCTCTCCCAGGAGAAACAGAGGCGCATAGTGAGGAAGGCTTTCAGGAAGTTGGATAAGATGAACAAAAAGAAAGAGCAGACTGTTTCTAAAGATAAGGGCTCAGTGGAGAAGATGGAGACGCTGGTTCACCTGGTGATCTCCCAGGACCACACCATCCGCCAGCAGATCCAGAGGATCAAGGAGCTGGACCGGGAGATCGAGCGGTACGAGGCCAAAGTGCACTTCGACCGCATCAAGAGACACGGGGTGAACTATGTGCAGGACACATACATGGTGGACTCCTCGGAGGCTCCCGATCCCGGGGACTGTAAGCGCAAGGCGGAGCGGCAGGACGCGCGGTGCACAGCGGAGGCGCTCGTGCAGTTCGAGGAGTACGCGCGCCGGTGTGAGGAGGTGGTGAGGCTGCAGGAGGAGCTGACGGAGCGCGAGGCGCTCGTGGAGAGCATCACCGGAGAGATCCAGGAGGAGCTCAACCGGCGATGGATGAAACGGCGGCGGGAGGAGAGAGGAGCGGAGGCGGCGAAGGACACAGACGGCGTCGCGGAGGAGATGTGCCTGGCCGCGTCTGCCGCTCCAGAGGAACCAGATGTGGAAAGTTTGTCTGAGAACGAGCTCACACTGGAGGAGGAGAGGATCAAAACGCAGCTGGACACCAGTCTGTACATCGGCCTGCGGCTCAAGACAGACCTGGATGCCATCAGGGGGGACTTGGACCTGAGTCTGGCACTCTGGGAGACCAAGGAAAGTGAACTTCTGGACCTACTGGCCAAAGTTGAGACCATGGAGATAGAGCAGGTGGACAACACCCTGACGGTGACTGATGAGGGAGAGCAGGGGGCAGTGAGTGCTGAGGCTGAACCGACGCCAGCAGAGAAGAGCAGTGGCTGGGTGGAGCAGGCCAGAGGTCTTTCCAAGGCCTGCAATACGAACGACGAGGACTCGGACACAGGCCTGAGCTCCATGCACAGCCAGGACTCTGACAACCCGCCTGTGTGCGAGTCGCTGGTATAGACTCACTTTGTTTGGAAGCATGTTGGACTTTTATGCAATTCAAAGCCACAAACTCAGGGGCAGAGAATCAGTGTTGGCAATACTGGGAGATGTTCTCCCCTACCCAAAATGCACCTCAGTATGGACACCGTAATTCTATAGCAATAATTTCTATATGTAGTTGCACAATAAGCTAGGAGGGACAGCATGCTTAGAGAGGGGTTCATAGGCTGTGCTGCTCAATAGTTGACCTTTAACCTCCCACGAGGAGAGTCAACAAAGTACCACTTATTAAGAGAAGTAGCCTAGAGGAGTATTATGATAAACCACTTATAATCTGTAGTCTTCAATGAGAAACTAACTTTAAGGTATACTTGATCACAGGTTTACAAAGAGTTAATAACAGCTTGCTTTTGTCAGGATCCAGTCTAACTTTTTGCTGAAGCGACTGAAAGGTGAGGCTAAGTGTTGTTTCAGACACTGTAAGTATGCCTAATAGCCAAAAACAGACAGGTTTCCTTTAAAAGGTCATCATCAAGTGTACCTTAATGCACAGTAAAGTACAGTTAGGTCAGCTACAAACATGCTATGAAAGCTCTTTCAATCAAGCAAAAGCACGATAATGGTAGGTTCAGTTCACTTCAGCCTCTTCCAAATAAGATTGAAAATGACTCTCCAGAACTACTTAGTGTTCATGTTCTATCATTTTTTGGAACAATGAAAACTGCAGACTTTGTGAATTGGAGTTGAAACGCTGATCCCTATCCTGCCTGCTAAGCAGAGTAGATCACTCGATATTGTCCTCAGTGTCAGTGTCCGTCTTTAAAGCACAAAAGGTCCTATTTATTTAACACTACGTTACAGCCGGGTCATCCACTACACTCTGTCCTGCTTTGGTCAACTTTTCATCGGTTGGATTTGAACAGTTTTTTGTCATTACGGCTCTTTTGAGGCTGTTTCATTGCCGTTTAAAGCAGTGGTTCTCAACCTTGGCTTGGCTTTAGAACAATAAAAAGTCTACACACGGCCCCTCATGAAAGGTTATGAGCTGTGAGCAATTCAAGCAAGCGAAGTCAGTGATTTTTCTGTTCACCTCAGACTGTTTAATGTTAATAATTATAGAAGCCTAGAGAGGCCAAAAAAGGAAAGACAAATGTCCTGAATAATAAACATAACTTTATGGGGCGGACATTTTTTTGGTTGTTCTTTCCCGTCTTGTTAATCATCTCTGCATTTATATTTTGACCACTGTGGGGGGAACTCCCGATTGAGAACCACTGGTTTAAAGCTGGTAAAAAGTCGGTTCACTGTTGTACCTTCCTGGTGAAACAGCCATAAAGAGATCGGGTCAGACCCAAAGCAAATTCATTTGGGGCATTTGTTTAAAGGGTACTCCAGTGATTTGGTATTTCACTTCCATAAATGTGCAGCACTCACAAGAGGCCAATTTCACAGGCTGAGTCGTACTCCTTATGACGTGTAGACTGAACTATGTGTGTACAATTGGTGGAGTGGCCCTTTAAATCTGGGTATTGTTTATTGTTCTGGCATTAGTTTGGCTGTTCTGATGCAGGTGACTTGTTTCCCTGAAAAGCATCTTACTCAATCATAGGCGATGTTAGCAGACAAAAAAAGCCCAATTTCTATATCAAGGTTTAAGTCAAGGAATTATGTTATTGTGTAACAAAAACAAACACACCAGGAATACAAATATGAGCCTGCACATTAAATATCTACAGTGTAGTAGACTTTGGTTCAGATTATATGTTTCTTGTCTAAATAACACATTTTTACTAGCAATCCAGGGAGTTCAGAAACATGAAATAACAAGTCTTGTTTTTGGCCTTCTCGGCTTTCCGTATTTATGTGGCTTGATGACGCAGTTATTGTCATTTCCATTGTAAATAAGTGCAACAAAAATGGTACACTTATTTAGAAACACGCAAACCTTTACAGTATTGCCATGCCTGTACATTTGAGTCCATCTGTGAGTACAAACACCTGTAAGATTGGATTTTCAGATGCTTTTGGGAGAAGTGACCCCATTTAGTAATCCCACGGTCCCTGCATCTCTGAACGCTGTGACATTAAGGGGAACTATTTTAAGCCTCAGTTCACTTTTTACATCCTGGAAATAGTTGTTGCAGAGCAGTACTAGTTTTATTTCCTGGTACGCTCTTCCAGGAACTGCATAGAGAGTAACACAGAAGCTAGCAGAATACATTATTAAGAGATCCTTCAACTAAATCACTCTGTATGTTTGTCAGGCTGTTGTGATGTCAAATCTTACATGTTTGACTTTGTCTAACTGTAAAATGGTGAGAATTAATAACCTTGTAACAACTAGAAGAGACGGATGATACTGTTTCTATGGAGTTAGCTGTTAGCTGTATCCAAATACCAAAATGACCTGTGTGTAGCTAATTTATGTCGCTTGATCAGGGACAGTTTGGGCTTCTCAGTCCATGACATTCAGCCCGCTTCGTCTAGATAGATGGCTCTAGACCGACAACTCTGAGGCTTCAGCAAGAGTTCTCAGATGCACTGTGGCTGCATCGCAACGCCAGTCAGCACATTATTACACATGACTGTTAGTGTTGAAATAAACAGCAAAACCTATTTGGCTTGTAGTGTGCTTTTATTCAGTGTGACTGACATGTCTGAGAGTATGTTCATGTGTGAACAACTCTGTGTTTTAACACTTCAGTTAAGGGACGACTTCCCCCCTCGGCTAAACATCCACACACAGGTTTGCGTTTCATGTATGGTTTTAGGATGGAAAGATAGTTTGCATACCTTGTTGCCGCAGTGCTTGATGGTGAAAGGTGTGTGTGTGTGTGTGTGTGTGTGTGTGTGTGTGTGTGTGTGTTTTCATACCTGTTCCCATTATCCGGTCATACTTGTCATGCATAGTTGTGTTTAATCGCTGCTTCCTGATCACTCTTGCATGAACTCCTGCATTAATTATGACAGGATGAAACAGAGACAAGCAGTACAGAGCAAAGTTTGTACAGCTCAACTTACCATTTAGTAACACACACCTTCACATGCTCCTCAGGTGGCGGGGGCGGTTCATCCAAATTACAAAAAACATTTTCCCACTTACCCCTTCTGCTGTCTAACTATGCAGATTGTTTAGGTTTTATTTGTCAAAGTTTTGCAATATCTATCTTTGTGATTTTTGCATCCATCCAAATAAACAGAGGTGAAAAGGATATAAATTGGGGTGCTTGCAGCAATTATCAATGACATTTTTGTTCAGGTGAATAGTCCACAGAGTCAGTTTTCAGTGTGCTCTATCCACCTCCATTAATTTAGGGTTAGGAATTTCTGCAATAACTTATGTATGCTAATTATTGCAGGCTGATTCCAGTGTGTGGATACATTGGAAATACTTAAATCTGACTACTTTCAGGCCAAGCCAGGTGATAAATCATTTCTCTAATTGTCTACATCACTGACAAGTTGAAACTTACTTCAGTCATTGTCTCTTCAGTCCGACCATGAGAATTCCAGACATTTCTCCTAACAAAAGGTTATAATTTTGTGCCAGTTTTCCTTGTTCGGCGATGCATCTCTCTGATGATTATGCCACACCCTGGTGTTATGAGCTACATTCGGCCTATATAGCATTATCTACAGAGCCTGTGTCTACAGAATAAGCCTTATATCTACATCCAGAGGGGAAATAGCGCTCATGAGTACAGAGAAAAAGGCTCCACTGCAGTGGGAGTGTTTACCCAACAGGCTGTGGGCATTATGAGCATCAGTGGGGAAAAACCTGGAAAGTGTGAGCGAGTAAGTAGAAAAATACAAACGGGAGGAGAGGTACTCTCCTCAAAGATGCAGCAAGAACTAGAGAAGTCTGCATTTATATTTACTCACTGCGGAAGTTTTAGAGTTGAAACAAAATAGGGCTAGAATTTGAGGTTAAAGTTGAGTTGATGAAAAACAATAAGGGAAACTGTTATTACTGTTATTCAGTTGAAGTGAAGGAGTTGAAAGTGTTGTGTCAGTGTCAGTGAAAGCAGGCGAGCCCTCAGTTAAAGAATGAAAGATGAAAGCAGTGGAACTGTTAGTTGAGGTGTAGCCACTGAAAGCAGTCGAAGTGTTAGTTGAAAAGTAAGAGATTAAAGCAGCTGAACTGTTTACCAAACAGAACCGGAGCATTATAACACATCAGTGGGGGAATTCCTGGGAAGCATATTCCTGAAAGATGCAGTAAGACTTACATTTCAGTGTCGGTGACTCAGACGGGACAGCGATACTATCTTCTACATATTTAGGCTACATCTACGCTGTTGCATTTTCCTTTTAAAAGAGCGTTTTAAATGAATAATAGTTATAATGAATAGTTTGTGATGTGCTTTAAGTAGCTACAGCACTAACACAGCAAATACCTGAGAGTCCACATCCAGACTGACTGACTCAAACTTTTACACTGTCACATGCAGGTTAGATGTTTTCCCGGAGGGACCGTCTCACAGCTCAGTCGGCTGTCAACCTGCTGATGTATGTCTCATGTAAATGTGTCACTCAATATGCCTGCTGTCATCTGATACAATCCGTTTCATTCCTACACAGACTGGCTCTTAAATCAGTCCAGGTTCTTCTTCACCGCTTGTTGAATTGATCAGTAGCTGTATCTGCTGTACTGACGAGCGAACCCATCCATCTAGGATTGATGCAGATGTATGGATGTCTGAGTGATCCACGCTGGCAGTCGACACCTACTTTCTCCTGCGTCTTTGGTGGCAGATTGTGGTTCAGTTACACTGTCAGGTTCATTTGATATCAACAGGCTCTTCATTCTCCTCCCCGCTTTCTTTCTGTTTTCCTCGCACTTCTTTTCTTCTTATCAGCTCCACAACCCCCTAGAGACCTGTAATGTCAAAATGACCATTATTTAAATATCATGGGGAATAAATTTATTTTCTCTCTTGAAGGTACCACAGTGAACTACAGGTTTAGGTTAAAATGCTAATAGAAATACTCCACAAATCTGTTTTAGACAATTAAACACAAACACACTGATGGCAGAGGTTGCCACGCAAAGTGCCAACTGCCCATCAGAAACAGAAACTAATCCAATTCACACACATTCATGCACTGATAGGAGTATCAGAGGCAACTGGGGTTCAGTATCTTGCTCAAGGACACTTTGATGCTCAGTATGTAGTATCTCAAACAAAACAAACTATTGTACAATATAACAGGTATAAAAGGCTTAACTATTACTTATTGGCTGCTAGTTACGTGGGGTGTTTATGTGTGTTTGACCTCCTGGTGCCATGCTTGGCATAGGTAGTGTGAGACCATCCATTTTACTCACAACACTAGAATTTATGTAACTTGACATGTAGGTTGCAGGGGATACTTTCAACAGTCTCTCTCTCTCTGTGTGTGTGTGTGTATGTGTGTGTGTGTGTGTGTCTGTGTGTGTGTGAAAGAGAGAGAGAGAAAGAGAAAGACTGAGACAAACAGAGATTAATAGACAGGAAGAGAGAACGATATGGTCAGGTTATGCAACCCTGTTAGAGTATTTTGTGTGTGTGTGTGTGTGTGTGTGTGTGTGTGTGTGTGTGTGTGTGTGTGTGTGTGTGTGTGTGTGTTGGACCCCCTGGCGTTGTGTTTGCCAGAAACAGTGTGAGGTGGTATAAGGGCCAGTTAGCAGCAGATGCTCACATCTTTCAACCAAAAACAGTGCAGTTTATATAACCAGACCTGGAAACACATGCTGCGGGGACGTGTGTGTGTTTGTGTGTTTGAATATCGGTTGAGAGGTAATACGTCCTAGCCAGCAGCTTATGTACATGCCTTTACAACATACAGGCTCTAAAATGTACTCAAAGTATAAAAGTACTTGTGTTAAAATGTAGAGATTAAAAGTAAGCAGTAAGTGCTCATGTAAAGTACAGATACAATAAAAAAACTACTTAAGCATATTAACAAAGCACTTGTGCTCCTGTTCCTCCCACCTCTGCGTATGGTTCAACGTTTTGCGTGGGGGATAGCAATCATTTGTAAAATTTGTGGAAAAGTTGCGTTGATTGGCTAAAATTGCAAGGTCATGCAGAATTCACAGGGACTGCTTGAATTGCGTTAATTGTTGTGATCACAACGTCGCAGCTTCCTGGAGGGACTGTAATTTGCAGCTTGTGACTGTCTTTATGAGCTCCTAATGTCCACAGTCAGCCACTACAGCAGCGTATTGCATTCACAAAATAAAATAATAAAGCTCTGTTTTTCTGAATGAACAAAATACCTCCAGCACACTCTCCATGCCCAGGGCTGGCTCTCAGCTCCCCTGAGCCTAACCCAAATCCTGTATCCAGCCTCCAGCAGGCCCACGCAGGGCTCTGTGTCGCATCTTCACCCGCTGGAACTTCCCTGGAGAACCGGAGGGAGAAAGAGAGATCTTTGAGGTTCGTGCCCACGGCAGTGCCTGTTCTTGGCTGTCCTCCTGCGTGTGTATGGACAGTGGGTGCAGTTATCATTTCATTTTCTTAATAATAAAATTAATTCAGACTACTCCAATGCAGACAGCTTTTGAACATTACACATTTAACGATTCAGATCAACTGTCATCTTCCTCTGTTCTGTCAGTGTTTTATGTCTTTATACCAATGTGTGTGTGTTTGTGTTTGTGTTTGTGTGTGTGTGTGTGTGTGTGTGTGTGTGTGTGTGTGTGTGTGTGTGTGTGTGTGTGTGTGTACAGACAGACCAGTATTTATGTATGTGTGCTTTTATGTGTGTCTGGGTGATTACAGAGGCAAGGAAGCGTGAGAATGATGCAACATTGTTACATAGAATGAACCGAAAACCTCATGATGAAAAACAGAAGAACAACACAACAAACAGGCTTTACACAGAAAACTAAATAAATCAGTTTCCCTGAGTGCTTCAGGCTGAGGAGATGAATACACAAACAGCTGTCCAGCTTGGATAAAACAGGATAGTGTGTATGCGTGCGTGCACGTGCAATTGTGCGTTGCGTTAATCCCTGATGAGCTCGCAGACAGACAGGACTGTGTGTGTGTGTGTGTGTGTGTGTGTGTGTGTGTTGTGATCTGGGGTGAGACGGTTGCTCCAGGGGTTTGTGTGTCCTGCAAATTACACACACAGCTGGTGTCATTGGCATTATTTTTAAAAACAATACAAGTGTTTCATCATCGGGATTAATTAAAACCTCAAAATAAAACGAGGGACATTCTGGGGGCCGAGCCTTTCAGTGCTCCGTCTCTACTCCCCCACGTCACCTGGTTAACCCTCTGTTCCTGTCGTAACAGATCTGACGGGAGATGTGGGCGGAGGGACATTTGATGTTGTAAACTCACACTCTCACAAGACAGTTGATAATCCTCGAATGTGAGATTTAAAGTAAACAGATAAAGCGAGAAAGACGCAGCAGTGCATTCATTTGCCCTTTTAAGCTGTGTGTGTGTGTGTGTTGCCAACACTCAGGGACACCCATCGGTCACACAGCTGCTGACAGATGTAGCTTAATTTTTGTTGCTGGATATTTAAAACACCTCATCAGTAGTTGGTCCACAGTTAAAAGAGAAGAGAAGATAAGGAAGATTCAGTCAGAATCTATTATGACAGTAAATGTATATTTT